AGGGCTGAGAGAGAATGACTGGCCCAAGGTCACCCAGCTGGTTTTGTGCCTAAGGCAGGACTAGAACTCAGTCTCCCAGTTTCTAGCCTGGTGCCTTAACCACTACACCAAACTGGCTCCTTACATTTAGATTTACTGGAGTGCATAGTATCACTGATAACCATCACTTTAGAGGTACATTATATACTTCATTTTCAAGGCATGTAACACATATGAAGACTATACAGATATTTTCATCTTAGAATAATTGGTTGATGCTTGCATTTAAGTATAAATTAAGTAAAAAGCTCACATTTGTTTTATGTAATTTGCAAAACTGCCCATACTTTCACTAAGATAATCACATTGTTGGCATCTAATATCTGTAGTGATATTCATTCAGTTATCAAATATCATGATGGTTCTCTTTTTATCTATGGAAAAGAGATTCATAAAGGAGAAATCCAGTCAAACCTCTGTAATCCACTCCAGATTAAGCACTAATCTTATGCCCAGGCATAAGAGGATGAAGAGCTATCATCTGCAATTGTCATTCTCTATTCTTACTTTCACTGAGAACCAAGACAACATTGTTACCAAACTGCTACATTCCAGTGTTTTTGATGTCATCTTCTGGATTTTTCATATGTGATTTCTGATTTTTTAAATTTTAAAAACAATTATTTAAAAGTACAGACTTGGAAAGTGTTGCAGATTTTTTTTGTTTTTTGTTTTGGAGTACTTTGCCTTTAATCAGTAACATCAATTATGTATTCATGCTCAGCAGATAAAGGAAAAGAGTAGGCATTGAAAACTGAGGTCCTAATTGTGACTTTGGGGTAGAGGAGGCTTGGTTTTACCTAAGGGCTGTGAGAAGAAGATGCAACGGCAAAAAGTGACAAAGATCTGTTGTTATTTTGCTAATCCTGTTAAATAGTATGTGATTCATAGATTTCTATCTTCCCTTGCCTACCTTTTTTATATATTCTAAGAGAAGCTTTCATTTTCCAATGTGACTGAAGTAAATCTTGCAGGTGTTTATCCTTTTCTACATATGTGGTCATAGTATAGAGCATGGAAATATATTATGGTTTCGAAACTATAGCATTTTATGGGCCTTATAAATTCTGAGATGTTTAGAATGAGAGGACATTTATTATGATGTGAAATGTATTTAAAGAAAACCTACTTTGAGTTTAAGTGCAGCATCATAATGCTGAATTTTTACTGCATATCTTCAATGAAACATAAGTATCTTGATTTTTTTTTTGTCTATAATGTACATGTAAAACGTTCCTGCATGTAGCTTACAACTTATGTATGGCCTGCAAAGATGACTGAATAGACTACCAAAAGACAAAGAAGTTGTTCTCTACAGCTTTGACTAATCTTATTTTCAACATTGTGATGGATTTTCCATAGTTGATCTCCAGGGATTGCCCAGAAACTTCTGCCTACTTATCCAGAGTGGGGTTATCATCTCTTAATATAATTCCATATTCATCACAGTAATTCGATACTAGGCCCATTCTCCAATTTCTGTTTGCTGCCCTGCTACTTTGGATGACAGTATAATAATAACAACTCCAGCATCAAAATCAAAGCATGCTTATGTCCTAGGGCAGGGTATATGTGTTGTGCGTGTGATGAGTGAGGAAGCCTCCTTGTCCACCCAAACTGGTCAGCTGTAGACACATGAGGAATGAAACTGCAATGCTAAGAATCTGTTGCTGGCCCAATCCATCATCAGTGACACAAAGCTAGTGATCTGAATGAGCAGCAAACAGCGGAAGATTATATATTGAGAAATGAGTATCTTCTGAAGTGAAATACTGTATAATGAAGCAAACAAAGGATTCTTTTGCATCTTTGTAAAATAAAGCACCAGTGTAAGGAACAGTTCTGAAACCAAGAAATAACCTTTTATTCCTTCTACTTTCCCATTTTGGAAAAGTAGGATAAGGAAGAGTTACATATAGAAGGAATTGGATGCCTGTAGCAGAAATGCTTTTGTTCTTGGTTTCTCCTGCCATTTTTAAATACAGTTTCCTGCCAAATGAACAAGGAAAATTTCATCCTAAAGGGGAAAAAAATGTGTACAATATATTTGAATGACTATTGCATTTATTTGTTGAGATTTTGTTATCCCGCCTTTATTTATATAACTCAAGGCAGCACACATAATACTCCTTCCTCCTATTTTCCCCACAACTGTTGTGTTGGGCTGAGAGGGAATGACTGGTCCAAAGGCACCCATCTGGCTTCTGTGTCTAAGGGAGAACTAGAGCTCACTTTTCCAGCTTCTAGATTTTTAACCTGCCTTTTCTCCAGGAGTTCAAGATAGTGTACAAAGTACTCTCTCCTTCCCCTTTTTCCCTCATAACTAATGAGGACATTTTTAAAACCTGTATGACTTCTCTATCACTGCACCTGTCCTTTGGAACAGCCTTCACTGTGAGATCCAGATGGCCCCAAACCTATTAGCCTTCCATAAGGCTATGAAAACCTGGCTTTTCCTTCATGCCGACAGAGGTGAATATGTGTAGCTCAGGGCTGAACTGTGGGGTCCTTGGGGTTCTCTAAGCCTGGTTCTTTTCTTGCAAATGTTTCATTACCCAGCTAGGTAACATCTTCAGTGCTAAAATGGGCTGGGGTTATGAAGCCCAATATGTGTTTTTTGGCACTGTAAATTCTTGTAAGGTTTCTTGATTATTGTATTATGATCATTTTTAATTGAATTTTGCTTCATTTTATAGTGGTTTTATTTTAAAAATGCACTGTTTGTCAGCCACCAAGAGTTACTAGTGTAAGATGGGCAGCCATATACATTATCTAAACAAACAAATGTGCTAAGACAGTGACTGGTCCACTCACATAGTTTCCATGGTTGAGAGTGACTATCCTAAGTGTCTTCAGTCTTAATCCAACACCTTAACAGTTAATGCTTATGTAAATTTGTATCTACCGACATTCTAGGCATGTCTTGAATTCACTAAACCTTGAATAAACTAGGAGTGAGCAACTTTGCACCAGTTTAACCGTAGCATGAGTACAATAGTGAATCTAAATTACAAAACAAAAAATAAAAAAACATTCAGATTTCACCTCTGCCATAAATTCATTATGAGGCCTTTGACACACCAATCTCTTAATGCTGCCAATTACAATACTGTATGGGAGATAAGTATATTGAACCAGGGTTCCTGAAAGGATCATAACTCTAATTGGTGAAAGTAAATACCAGTGTTAAATACGTCTAGGATTTTTACCAAAAAATGGAGCATCTCCTTAACTGGAACCCTCTGCTTCTCCTGTATATTCATTAAAAGCGATTTCTACGCACTACCCCAAAGTGTCATTGTACAAATGTCAAGCAGTAGCTAAAAAATAAGGCGCGCGGGATTTAGAGAGCGTAAGCCCCTCTCGTTTTTCCTGCTGTACATCGTGCTATCCGAGAAGGGACAAGTGAAACTGTGAATGAAAGAATGAAATGTAAAAGAATCTAAAGCAGAAACCACCAAAAGCATAGGAACCCCTTCCGTCTCTCACCCCAGGATTTTTCTCACGCGAGCGCATGCGTACAGCAAGGCGGTTGGCTATTACCCAGCATGCTCGGCGTACCCCCTCCCCTTGGGTGGGTGAGTGAGTGAATCTGGCCGGCGGATGATGGAGCTGAGACTGTAATGGCGGCCGGCGGCAACGGCGATAGCGGCGGCTCGGGTGCAGCTGGGCTCTGACACCCGGGTACTCCTCTACGCCGCTGGGACCTCCTCCCTGGGCCGGTCACTCCCCCCCGAGAGCACCGCTGAAGACTCGGCCGGACACACTAGGCGGGAAGAGGAAGAGGGGAGGACTCCTCACAGACAATGGACGAACATCCCGGCGCCGGCGGGGGGATCATGGCGGGGGCCACCCCGCGACCTCAACAGCAGCCACTGCCGCCCATCGGAGGCAACGTTAATTCCCAGCTGCTCAACCAGGGCTGCGAGGGGCCTAACAGTGGCAGTCTCCCGTCCCAGCAGCAGTCTCAAGGTCCGGCGGCGGCTCAGGAAGCGGCGGGGCCCGGGAGCGGATCGGAGTTGTCCCGGCCCCAGCACTACACTATCCCGGGGATCCTGCACTACATCCAGCACGAGTGGGCCCGCTTCGAGATGGAGCGCGCTCACTGGGAGGTGGAAAGGGCCGAGCTTCAGGTAGGATGAAGCCGGGTTCCGGGCGGGTGAGAGGGACACAATGAGAGAGTGGTTGAGCCGAGCCCGGCCCGTCTAGGGCTGGCGGCGGAAGCGACGACAGGGACTTGGCCAATGCGGGGAAAGGCGGGCGCGGAGGAGCAGGTACCTGCGTGTGGCGGGTCCGGTGAGGCGTGGCGCGGCGCGGCGGGCGTCACTCGGCACGTCCCCCTCGGTGCTCTTCGGGTTGGGCTGCTTTCCCCGGGGCAGCCATTTTGGTTTCTAGCATGGCGCCCGCCTGGCTCGGGCCTGTCAAGCGAGTTTGGAGAGGAGAAGGGCTACCGTCTCCTCTTCACCCGGCCCAGCCTAGGTTTGACACACTGTCTCTGCCGGCAGGAGACTGCGCCTTGACAGTTATTCTCGCGCGGGGGCCGGCGCTGTCTTTGCCGTAGCTGCAGGGATGCCGAAGCCGGCTGGTCACCTCAGAGACTTTCGCGGCCTAAGAAAAACCCAAGAGTCATATAAACGCAACAGTCCAATTCTGTCAGTCCCCACGCGTATTTATAGTTCTGTCTTGTGAATGTAAATCACGTACATGGTCCGGCAGGGAACCCTCCTCCTTTTCAGAAATAGGAGGCGTGTCCCCCATTCTTAACTTAGAACACCCCAAAAAGAGATGGAGGAGGAGGCACACAGTGATTGATGACGTCCATGTATTTTTTATCTCCTTAATCCTTTACAACCATTACATTATTTCTGTGATCTATATTTACAAAATACAGATTGCTTATGTGCATTGTGATTGTAGCAAACAGAGGCATACTTATCAGTGAACCAAAATTGGGAATATCTGATGTGTACACCAACCAGGTTTCATTGAATTCTACTGAGATGACTAGGCATTTCAGTCAAGTGCATAAATACAAAGATGTTATTAAATCTAAATGTATATTTCAGAATAAACAACATATTTAACATTTTAGACTTGCTCAGTAATAACGTATGCTGAATTTGGATATGTATCATGGTCAATAGTGGTGATTGTAAGAAACATTGCTACTACATAATGAGTTAAAAGCAAAGAGGTATGATGTATGTGGTTAGTTCTGAAGAAAATAGAATGTTGCATATAGAAGATGCATCTCTTAGAAGGTATGTGTTCTGACCTGTTTAAGGTTATGCAGTCTTTTGCTTCAGTCTCACATTTTAAGGGGAAAGGAGCAAATAATGGCGATTGATCTTAACAGAATTCTTATGAAGGCAAATACTGAATTTTGCAAAATGAAAGAAGTGCTGTTAAAAAGCATAATCAAATAGTCTACACAACAGCACTTACAGAAGTCTCCATATGTTCAGTAAATCTGAACAATTCTTTTGGCAGATTTATTTTATTTATTTACTACGGCTTGTATGCAGCTCAGTTCCAAATTGCTGTGAGCAGCTTACATCAAGCAACAAAAACATTAAAACAACATTATTTGAATAACAAATATCCTGTAACTTCAGCACCCAGGGGGCTAGGTCTAACTTCATTGTCCCGGAATGCATCCTTCAGAAACCTCAGAAGGAAAGGGTGGGCAAAATATCCAGTGGAAAGCTATTCCACAGAAGAGGGACCATCACTGAAAAGGCTTTACTACAGGGTCCTGTAGATAGTATTTCCTCAGAGAAGGGACTCTAACAGACCTTCTTTCTCCATTCTAACTAGACTGACAGACTCAGCCCAGCTTTTACTGGACAGGCCAATTCAGCCCAGAGCGAAGGTATCAAGGCCCTGAGCCATGTAAGGCTTTATATGTGACCACCAGCACCTGAATCACACCTGAAAGTATACTGGCAGTCATAGTAGTACTGTAATGTCACATGGGCAAATATAGGTATGATTGTAACTGCCTGGGCCACCACATGCTGTACCAGATGAAGCTTCTGCATGGTCTTCAAGGGCAGCTTCATGTAGAGTGAAGTTCAGAAGTCTAGCCACAAGGTGACAAGAGCATGAGTAATCATGGTCACTGCCTACTGATCCATGAATGGCCGAAATTGATACACCAGATGTAATTGTGTGAAGGCCCTCCTCACCACAGTCTCCATGTGGTATTCAAGTAGGAGCTATGTGTTCATGAGGACCCCCAGATTTGTTACTTAATAGAAGAATCTCATTTTTTGTGGGCTTTAGTGATCATGTATGTCTTAGATCAAAGAGAAGTAGAGGGCTTTTTTTTTACTTTTTAAAATATTAAATAAAATAAGACTTCCTTTATTGTGAGATAAATTGAATTGAATGCCACGTATGAAATAGCATGCTTTTTTTCTCTGTACCAGCTATGAGACCTAAACATTTGAAAATTAGAAATAAAATTTTCATGAGGGCAATGCCCCCCCCCCAAATTTGTTGCTAACTAGTTGCAATTGGAGAAAAATTATGGCAGCTCCAAACTGGTCCCAAATATCAGTCATTTAAGGAATCTCTGAAGCCATCAGTGCCATAGCTTGAGGTGCTGGCCTCATAATCACAGATACTTTGGCAGACTAGTGGGGCTCCTGGCAAAACCTTTTTGATCTAGCAGAACATATTACTACTGGAGGGCACCTTAGCTAAGCCCTACTTTCACAAGCAAACATAATCAGTTAGGATTAAGCCCCTTCTTACCATTCATACTATACTGTATGTGTATCCAAGCCTCCAGTCCAAATTTCTTAGAACGACAAGTTTTAACTTTTGTCATCTTATAGCCTCCAAATTTGATTTTGATACAGATATATATTTGCAATAAAACAATCAACCCTTTCTTTGCTATATAATAATCTTTTATTTAACCAAATATAATTATCTTTGGCTTGGTTGAATAGTTTTCACTTCTTTAGGGAACCTAACTTCCAATTTTTGCTCCTCTAGTTGCATTTTGTGCGCATATGCTTCTGTGATGACTGCTGTTGTATTACTTGTGGTTTACCAGAGCAGTAATAGCACTATTATCTACAAGTAATTTCAACATTATGTCATTATTATAATAAGCACTAACTTTTAAGGAATTGTCAGCATTCATAAGCATTTTGCTTGCTTGGCAGAATTTGTCGTAGGATGGAATAAAATCTTTTATGGTACAGAATGCCTGTGGTAATATAAATTATGTTAGAGGAGTGTGAGGCTGCCTTACTGCTTTAAAATTTTAGTTAACTTATTTAAGATCAGTTAGATTTTAGAAGAGATATCACTATAACTGTAATAGCTCTACTTCAAATTTAAATACAGGTAGTCCTCAAGTTATGACCATTCGTTCAGTGATTGTTCAAAGTTATGGCAGTGCTGAACAAATAATATGCCCGGTCCTCAAAGTTACGGCCATTGTAGCACCCCACAGTCACATGATCAAAATTTCAGCACTTGGCAGCTCACCCACACTTACAACCACAGGGCGCTTCAGCTCCTTTCACCCGCCTCCCCCATCTCTGCCCTTTTGGCCCCCTGCCCTCCGCCGCCCCCAGCTGACCTTTGCTGTCTTCTTGCTTCTACTGTTGACCAAGTGTGCCTGGCTTGCCCCTTCATGAAGCAGCTGCTGGCCGCGCAAGACCTTCTTCCTGAGGTTGTGCATGGCAGTCTCACGAGATCCTGGGAAGAAGGCCTCACATGGCCAACAGCTGCCTCATGAAGGGCCAGGTTGGGCATGCCTCAGCATCAGGAGCAAGAAAATGGCAAAGGTCAGCTAGGGCAGCAGAGCGCAGGTGTCAGCCTTACCAGGTAGAACAGATAGGAAACACAACTCAGATAAGCTAATTCTACTTCATTGTAAAGCTACATTAACAGAATCTTGCAGATCTGAAAGTACAGTTCTCCCGCCATCTCCTTTATAGCCTGAAAAACTAGAGAGGGCCCCTTCTGAGCCTCCTGCCTCACCCATTTTGCAGCTGTGGACTATGCTGTCTCTTATCTGACTGTTCCCTAGGCAGCATCTCTTCCTCCCATCTCCCAAGGTCTTTCCCACATACTATTACACCAGGGCAGCAAGGCCATGGAGTGCAGGGTGGCAAGGGTGGCTGGGGCTTCATGCCATGTGGCTGAGACAGCTGGGGCTTTGCACTGCTGGGGCGGGCTGGGCTGGGATGGCTGGGGCTTCCCACTGCGGGGCTGGGCTGGGCTGGGCTGGGCTGGGCTGGGCAGCTGTGGCTTTGTCCTGCTGGGCTGGGCTAGGG